TATTGCAAGGAAGACTTTAGAACTTGCACTTCTGAGTCCCCAAGGAATGACAAGTCTTTTTTCAAGAGTTACAGATGCTCTGAAACTCTTAACAAAAAATACTACTTTTCTTTTTGCCAATAAATAGGATAATATTGCTGTTGATTATTTTTAAAAATCCTAAGCCCATCCTGTTATTCCTAATTATTCTCAATTTCCATTCATCTACCTACGGTAGCTTAAGACCAGGGGCTGATTACCCTGAAAGGGGTCACAGGGGTCACCCATCACCCCCACACTCCTAAGGAGGGTAACATGCCACATTCTTCTCCAAAGATGAGAACAGCCTATAATCCCAGCTGGTAGAGTTTTTAATAAAACACTGACTGTTGGGGAGAGAAGACAGGCCTTGAATTTGGAATCCCGCCTCTGTGCCTCCTTTATCACCCACGTGACTTTGGGCAAGACATTTAACTTCCCCAACCCTAAATTCTCATTTGTACAATAGGATCCTAATATCTCACTGAGTGGCCACGAGAACATGACATGACATATAGGAAAGTACCCTGTGGAGAGTGGTTTCTCGTTAAATATCCTATCCCATCACTCTGGAAAGTTCGTTCTTCTACTGAGAGGAGATCTTTAGCATGTGACTCAGGAGCTACACACAGAACCAGTCTTCTCTCGTTGTTACCTGTAACTGCCTTTTGAACAAGAGAAGACAAGGATAACTGAGGCAAGATGTTTTTTCAAATGCCAACTATCATACTTCTTCCCACCGGAAGGTTACAGTAATGACTTGGAAAAGATCAATGGTCACCCTCATTAGGAAAATTTACCAGGTCTCTAATCCAGTAAAGATTTACTTAGTGTGTACAATGTGCCAAAAACTATGCTAGTGTCTAGACATCAGTTAAGAGACACGGTGTTTTCCCTAGAAGTTTATAATCTTCTGAGAAACAGATGTATACTAACTAATGATTGCATTATAGAGCTGTCTGCTAATAATTAAGTTCTCTATAAATTGCTAAATGAGTAAAAACGAAAACCACACAGGAGGCATCTTGGGTGGGTTCTCCACACCATGGCAATTTTTAAAAACTCAGTCTTGAGAACATTCATTCATTCATTCGTTCAGCAAACATTTATTAAAGACCTCCTATGTGCCAGATACACATCAGGTGCTGGGAATATAAAGGTGAATGCAAGTGAGGGATCCATACTCTCGGAGGTTAGAAGCTAATTTATGATCATTCTAGTTCAATGGGATAATTGTCTTAAAGATTAACTTCAACTTTCTCACTTGCCACATGAATGAATTAACTATTTGAGGCGGTTACAGGATCCTACGCTTTCTAAGTCGGGTATCTTTCGGTGCACCCACTTAATCTAAAATCCTACAAGCAAACAAATTTCCTCGTTTAAAATTATGATTGCTTTCCCCTTCTCATGCTCCAAAGCTAAGCATGTTGTGATTAATCTTCAGGATTTCAAACGGGACCAACGGCCAATGTCTGGGAATACGCCAGATGCTGCAAGGCTGTATTTAGAGGGAGTGGAAGTAAGAAATTAAATTCAAGTCAGGTGAGGAAACGAAGAGGGGTCAAAAGCACACGCCGTGAGGCAAGGAGGCTATCTCCTCCTCACACCAGACCCCAACACTGTTGGCTGTGCACAGCGTCCAGCTACTGAAGCTTTCACTGTACCACCGTGGAGGGCTTGTAAAATGCTAGGGGAGACATGGAAAATCCTTGTTCTTGGCTATGAACTTCAATAAGTATTCCCAAGAGCAACAGATACAAATTAAGAGAGAAAGGTATAGTACATAATCTAAACTCTTCATGGAAGTAATTCAATTCGAGGAAGCAAGTGCACTCAGGATAGTGCAGCTGACCCCTGAGCAATGTGAGGTAAGCAGCATTGACCCCATGCAGTTGAAAATATGTGTGTGTAACATCTGACCACCCAAAAACCTAACTAATGGGGGCGCCTGGGTGGCTTGGTCGGTTAAGCGTTTGACTTCAGCTCAGGTCATGATCTCGCAATTCATGGGTTCGAGCCCCGTGTCGGGTCCTGTGCTGACAGCTCAGAGCCTGGAGCCTGCTTCGGATTCTGTGTCTCCTTCTCCCTCTTTCCCTCCCCTGCTTGCACTCTCTCTCTCTCAAAAATAAACATTACAAAAAATTCAAAACTCTAACTACTAATAAATAGCCTACTGCTGACCAGAAGTCTTACCAGTAACAGAAAGAGTTGATTAGCACATACTTTGTATGCTGTGTGTATTATATACTGTACTCTTACGATAAAGTAACCCGGAGAAAAGAAGGTATCATTAAGAAAATCATAAGGAAGAGAAAATACACTTAAGTAATGTACTGTAATTATCAGGAAAATCCACACATGGCTGGACCCATGCAGTCCAAACCTGTGTTGGTCGAGCATCAGCAGTATTTCTTTTGTGCGTGTGTCCTACTCCACTACCTACAGCACACTCTCAAAGCAGTCACGTGTGCAAGAGTTACTGCATGAACTTGATGAAACCGCCAGGGCCACACTCCAGGTAAATTCAAACCAAGACAGCAAACGTGGTCATCGGTTATTTGAAGGCAACACTGTCGCGTGGCAGAAAGGCAACCATGTTGGAACCGCGGCCGCGGCGACAGTTAGTGCCTGGACGAGGGCCAGGTGAGGGGGGGCAGCCGAACAGTGAAGGCCACCTTTCTCCTACAAGCTCTCCAGCCCTGTCTGCTCCTGAAAGCATACAAGTGTCCTTCTGCACGGCCCCTGTCCCATCATCCACTGCAGTGAATGGAAAGGGGGGCGAATTAACGCAAGACGGTACTTTTCAGAACAATCGTTACAATGCCTTTCCCATTTGTTCATTTATCAATAAAAATCAGAGCTACAAATAGAAAAAGAAACAAGTGCCTTAAATTTCTCCCTCCCTTTCCTCCCCTGGACTTGAGCCTTTCAAGAAATATTTATCTGTATTCATCTAATTTCATCCTAGAAATCATTTTTTTAAAAAATTATTTATTTTGAGTGAGAGAGAGAGCTTGTGTGAACACAAGCAGGGAAGGGGCAGAGAGCAAGGGGGAGAGAGACTCTCCAACAGGCTCCCTGCTGCCAACACAGAGCCTGATGCGGGACCCAGTCTCACGAACTGGGAGATCGTGACCTGAACCCAAATGGAGAGTCAGATACTTAACAGACTGAGCCACCCAGTCGCTCCTAATTTCATTCCAGACTGACTGGGGTGTACACACCGAGAGAGAGGACATGCGTCTCGTTCACACAGCAGGAATTCAGTAGATCTTCTTGAGCGGAAAGGTGAAGTAATGAGTGGGAAGAAGGCAACAGCTCTTTCTGAAATGTGATTATGAAGCCACACAAGGACCTTGCCTGACTCATACCACATGGATGGTGCAGTGGGCCCAGGATCCGGGTTTTCCACACCCTCTGCCTGACAATTACGGCAGCACCATCCAGCCAGAACCCCATTAATCCAGACCTGAGAGAACTCAACGTAAGCTGAGCTGGAAAACCAAAGACACAGGCCCTACTAAGAGAAACTGAATAGCACTTTCTTCCCTTTGTAGTCTCTGCTATTTGCAAGGCACTCTGCATTTGTGGGAGAGCTTGAGGCATGATGATTACTGTCATTTGGTGGGAATACTGGGAAACAGGAACATGTCAAACTGTAAGGAAAACAAGGAGAAGAAGTGGAGGCCACGTCCTTCTCCAACTGAACAGCAAAATGGCGAAAGTACCGTGGGATTTATTTGTTGAGTATAATTCGCTGAGTTCCCAGGAGCCACTCTCTGCCAGGTATGGGGAGACAGAAGCTAACAGTCCCTGCCCCTCCAGAAGTCGTTGTGTAGGTGGGAAAGAGACACGTGCCTGAGACACATGACCTCAGCAGTAACACTCAATACATCAGCTCCCACCTCCTCTGAATTCCCCTCATGAGAGCTGAGCTAGGTCTAGCAAGACAGACAGGAAGTACGAGATGAGATTCTAGGCAGAGAAAGCAGCACGAGGAAAGCTCTGGAAGCTTGAGGGGACACAGCATATTCAGGGAATTACAAAAAGTTCAGTTCGCCCAGGGCAAAGACTGCTCTTTCCAGTGGCTGTGGACCAAGCTGCAGATGTTGTCTGCGGCCCAGAGAGTTAATGCAGACTTTTAGACACCGTGCAAAGGGGTGCCGAGCACCCAGCAAGAAATTTCCCTGACTTAAAACATGAGAGCCCATCGGCTCTTGCTTTTAGCCTCGTCACCGCTTCTCCTTCCTTGACAACAGCTCATGCATTTTTTCTTTAATACTTTCAGCCAGTAATAAGAAACATCTATCCACTACTTATTTTCCTTATTTATGTTAAACTCAGAGGTCAGAGGAAGAATCCCAGGCGGGTTGTATTCTTATTAAAAAACTCCTCTGCCCTTCCCCTCCACCCAGTTTTCACGGATATATTTTCTTTCTTTTATGTTAAGTCTATGAACCATATCAAAGAATTATTGAATGGTAAGTGGAAAAACTAATTTGCATTAATATAAAAAAATTGGGAACTTTTGTTTTCTTTGCTGAAAAACATTTCAACTATGAACCCATATTCAGCAGCAGCCCTTCAGAGGAAACACTTGAGGGTGAAAACAACTTGGTATGTGGAAGTGATTATTTTTTAAATGATTGGGTTACTCAGAGGCAATCTGGAGTGGACTATGAATAAATGTTACTTTAAAGTCCTGTAAGAGCTCGATAGCGTGTCTCCTTGATCCTGGTCTTGAACCTTCCCACTGGCCCCAATTCATCTTCCCTATCTTAGTTGTAAGCTACCTGATCTAAGAGATTATTTCTTTTTCATTTCTTATACTTCAAGTACCACATCTTATTTAGCACTCGATAAATGTTTGCTGAACTGAGGTGGAATGTTCAAGAACCACAACAAGGTAAGGGGGGCCGCTGGTTACAACATGCAATGCTATGTGAGGATTGCGTCAATCACATGACACCTTTACTTACATAATCTCCGTAGGTCTCTTGTGTTGGGGGTGGCGGCGGAGGTCTGTACCCAGTTGGGGGCACTCCTCTTGCTCTGGGAGTGAGAAGCCCTCTTCCCCGACTCACTGGCCCTCGGGTGGAAAGGACTCCTCTGGAAGCCGGCGTCCCTCGTGGTACACCAACTCCAACTGGCCGGGCTGTGACTCCTCCCCTTCCCCTGTAAGCAAGAGGGTCAAGTTAGCAATCTTCATCATAGTCTCTACCATTCCATGGTTCACATGCATTTATACCTCAGAAAAATCAATGTCCCATATTTCTGTAAAAAGAAACAAGGAAACCACACACAAAGTAAAAACTAAAGCAAATGAGAAACAGCTATCTACCAAAAGGAAGCCAAGTCACTTAGGCAGCTTATCCAGCAGCGATAAATATAATAACATCAAAGCATCCCCAAGACTCAATTTCTGGCTAAAATACAGAGTAGGAAGCTATGGACATCTGGGAAGGCTGCATCCACTCGGGACCCAGGCCGGGGTCACATCCAACCTCCATGCCAACACTATGAGCTGGGCTGCATTCTGCTTATCTATCAACAAGGAAACTGAGGCTGGAGAGATCTTCAAACTGAGAATACATAACTAGCAAAGCTAGGGACCAAAATATACATCAGAGTGCCATGAAAGAGAAAATTAAATGTACCTTCCCAAATAATGTATCTACCACAGAGTAATTTAAAATACCATTCTTTTTTTGTTAAACACCCTTCTCAAGCTGAATAAACAGATACTTTCTGAAGTAGAATTCAACATGTGTATTTATGTATTTCTAACATAAAATATGAGATTTCAAGTCAGAGAGCAAGGAAGGAGGCTGTACCAAGAATAGCCCAAAAAAGCAAAAACCTGAGAAAATGTGCAAGGTCTATGAAGAAATGAGAGAAAAATGAGGCTAAGACAGAGAATAAAAGATTTGGCCTCATCCATCTCCCACAGACAACATCCCCCAAATAAAGAGAACTGTCATAAATAACATGGCTGCCTGCGCATCTCCTATCTCCTTCTTTAGTTTCATTGGGATAGCAAATACACTGCTAAAGACTTAACAGAGAAAATTAACAAAACCAAAAGCTGGTTCTTTGAAAGGTTCAATAAAATTGATAAACCTCTAGATGTGCTAAACAAGAAAAATAAACAGTATCAGAAATGAAAGAGGGTCATCACTACTGACCCCAAGGACATTAAAGGATACGAAAAGAAGATTAGAAACAATTTTAGGCTCAAGAGATGTGTTAACTTAGATGAAATGCACCAGTTCCTTGAAATATACAAATAACTAAATCCCACAAGTAGATAATTAAATAATCTGAAATATCTATTAAAGAACTTTAATAAAAGAGTAATAATCTTAAAGAAAAAAAAGCACCAGACTCCAATGGAATTCACTGAATGAATTCTTTCATATATTAAAGAAAGAAAGAATATCAGTTCTCTACAATCTCTTCCAGAAAATAAAAATCAGAGGGAATACCTCCTTAACTCCTTCTATGAAGCTGGTCATTGCAAGTGCCTCCTGAAATTACTCCTGCATTACTACTCAGACACTGGGCCAATGGGGAGGACAGAAGTAACTGGTCTCTGCTTAGTCCTGAACCCTGGTGGGGACCTAGCAGAGGAGGCACCTCTCAAGATCTTTTTTCTAAGTCCCCTTCTGGGAGCCACAACTGGCCAGAGGGTTGGGTGGAGGGAACATGGGGGTCTAGAGAGGATGACACAGAACTGGCCTAGCTGATATCTGACCTCCCCAAGAAGAGATATGTCATCCAAGGGGGAACAAGGATAAGGCTCTCTGATAACCAAAGCCATTAAAGACTTTAAGAAATGGGGGGAAGAAAAACAACAACAACCCATAAATCATGATCTTTTTAAGAACAAAGGTGTACAATTCCTCAAAAATAGTAGCAAATTAAATCCAACAATATATCAAAAAATTATATACCATGACCAAATGGGATTTATTCCAGGTATGTAAGGCGAGTTCAACACTAGGAAACCAATGTGATCGACCACATCAACAAGGCTTAAAGAAAAAAAAAAAATCATATAATCATAAAGAGCAGAAAAAGCATCTAACAAAATGCAATACCAATTCATGAAAAAAATCAGCAAAGTAGGAAGAAGAAAATTTCCTCAAGTTGAAAAAAAATCTACAAAAACCTACAGCTACTATCATCCTGAATGGTGACAAACTGAATACTTTCCCCTTAGGACTGGGAACAAGGCAAGGGTGGCCACCCTTACTACTCCTATTCAACGTGTACTGGAAGTCCTAATTCAATAAAAAGGAATAAAACTTGTAAGATTGTGGAAGAAGAAATAAAATTTTATTTACAGGTGACATAATTTCTATGTGAAAATCCCCAAAGAATCAACCATAACAAAATAAAACAAAGCAGCCAAAAACTCCTAGAGTTTATTTTTTTTATGTTTATTTATTTATTTTTGGGAAAGAGTGAGTGCGTGCACACACATGTGAGCAGGGGAGAGGCAGAGAGAGGCAGAGAGAGAGAAAGAGACAGAGACAGAGAATGAATGAATGAATGAATGAATGAATCCGGGGCTTGATTCCATGACTGCGAGATCATGACCTGGGCTGAAATCAAGAGTCAGATGCTTAAATGACTGAGTCACTCAGGTGCCCCCTCCTAGAGCTTATTAATAAGCATAAAAACAAGGTCTTGGAATACAAAGCTAGTAAGGCAACAATATATACTCATATATATCTTACAGTACTCATTTTTGCAAGGTATATCCTAAAATTGGAACAATACAGAGAAGATTAGCCCAGTCCCTGCTAGAGAATGACATACCAATTTGTGAAGTGTTTCAGATTTTCCTATGCACGTGTGTGGGCAAGGGGCCTATGGGAAATATCTATATACCTTCCTATCAATTTTGCTGTGGACCCAAAATTGCTCTAAAACAGTAAAGTCTTTAAAAAAATACATAATAACATTTATTAAAGCAACAAAAGAAATGGTTTAGTACATATCTAACAAAATATGTACAAGTGTTCTATGTAGAAAACCATAAAACTGTGATGAAATAAATCAAAGGAGAATAATCCCATGAGTAATCGTTGTTAGAGTCAATTCTTGCCAATTCTTCCCAGCTCGACCTATAGACTCAGTGTAATCCCAATCAAAATCCCAGAGAGCCACGCTGTAGACTGACAAACGTATTCTAGAGAAGACACAGAAAGGCAAGACCCAGAACAGACAACAAAATACCGAAGAAGAACATGCTGGAGGACTCACAGTATCTGATTTTAAGACTTATCATCATAAAGCTACGGTAATCAAGATAGTTAAGTATTGATGGAAAAACAGACACACAGAACAACGGAACCAAAGACAGCCCTGACACTGATCCAAAGAAATGTAGTCAAGTGACTACTGACCAAGGAGCAGAGACAATTCAATGGAGAAACAAGTCTTTTCACCAAATGGTGCTAAAACAAACGGATATCCATAGGCCTCAAAAAAAAAAAAAAAAAAAAAAAAAAAAAAAAAAAAAAAAAAAAAAAAAAAAAAAAAAAAAAAAAAGAAAGAAAAAATAAAAGAACCCAGACATATCCTTCACAAAAATTACCTCAAAATGGATTTTGCTTATTGTTTTAAATATAGTGTATTGTCAAGTTAGCTGACATACAGTGTGTCAAGCATGCTCTTGGTAGATTCCTGTGATTCATCGCTTACATATGACACCCAGTGCTCATCTCAACAAGTGCCCTCCTCAATGCCCATCACCCACTTTCCACTCCCCCTTTCCTCCCCCCCCCATCAACCCTCAGTTTGTTCTCTGTATTTAAGAGTCTCTTATGGTTTGCCTTCCTCTCTGTTCAAAATGGATTTTACACCTCAATGTAAAATATAAAACTTGTAGAAGAAAATTCAGAAGAAATCAATGTGGGTTTGGTTTGATGAGTTTTTGGATACCATATGAAAAGCAGAATCTATGATATAATCTATGGTAAATTGGACTTTCTTAAAATTAAAAACTTCTGTTCTGAGAAAGACACTGTTAGGAGATGAAGAGACAAATCACAGAAAGGGAGAAAATATTTGCAAAACATATATCTGATAAAAAAAAACAACAACAACAAAACAAACCTGTATACAAAATATATAAAGAACTTTTAAAGCTCAGTAAGAAAACCCAATTTAAAAATGGGTAAAAGAACAGACAGACCACTGAAGAAGTTATACAGATGGCAAATAGACAAATGTTCTGTATCATTTGTCATTAGGGAACTGAAAATTAAAACATATCTATTTGAATAATAAAATCAAAAAACTGAATACACCAACTGATGGTGAGGATGTGAAGGAAAGGTGCTCTCATGCATTGCTCATGGGCACACAGAAGAGGAAGACAGTTTGGCACTTTCTTACAAAGCTAAATGAGATCTTACCACGTAATCTGGCAACTGTATTCCTAGGTACTTACCCACCTGATTTGAAAATTTACTTCCACACAAAAACCTGCACAGGAATGTTTATTGCAGCTTTATGCCCTTTAAGAGGACAATCTACATTCATCAGTTAATGGACATTTGAGCTCTTTTCATAATTTGGCTATTGCTGATAGTGCTGCTATAAACGTTGGGGTACATGTGCCATTATGAATCAGCACTCCTTGTATCCCTTGGGTAAATTCCTAGCAGTGCTATTGCTGGGTCGTAGGGTAAAAATTATAAACAGAGAGGGAGGCAAACCATAAGAGACTCGTAAATACACAGAACAAACTAGGGGTTGATGCAGGTGGGGAGGGCAGGGAAAATGGGTGATGGACATTGAGGGCACTTGGGATGAGCACTGGGTGTCGCATGTAAGTGATGAATCACGGGACTCCAAAAGCCAAGAGCACACTGTATATACACTGTATGTTAGCTAACTTGACAATAAATTATATACTAAAAAAAAGTTTGATATTTTATAATTTATTTTGATGGAAAAAGTACTAAAAAGAAAAATAAGAATTTTCTGGAGGAAAGCTCCTCTCTAGGAATTTTGCTTAACTTGTATGAACTCAAGTGAATCAATTAAAGGTTTTCCCTGACCCCCCCCTCCAAAAAAAAGGGGTGAATGGATAAGCAAGCTAGGGTGCATGTGTACAATGGGAGTATTATTTGCAATAAAGAGAAATGAGCTCACAAACC